CGGGACCCCTCCGCCTCCCCGGCTTTGCTCCCGGTGTCTGTGGTCTGCTGGAGACAGTCCCCAGCAGACCAGGGGCACCCGGAGCAGCTTTTCTCGCCCCGGAGGTCGAGGTGGTGGGACCGCTGCGCTCTGGGCGGTCCCGCTGCCTGCGAGCTCCGGGGCGAGAAAGCCCCATTCGTAAGTGCGGATCCGACATAAGGCGGATCCGTGTAACTCGGGGACTGCCTGTAGCTATTTTGAAATAGGGAGCGTCTAACACAGCACTTATTTCAAAACAGAGCACTTCACCGGCTTCCATTACTCCTTGTACAATGAAGGTTTCAGGGGCCGGAGTAAGAAGTCCTCCAGCTTGACAGTATTTTGACCTTATTTCGAAATACTTAGTCCACATCTACACAGCAGGCATTTATTTCAAAATCATGTTGCTGTGTAGACGTACCCATGCGTGAAACTCTGAATCAAAACAGCCCCACATGCTGAGGAATCTGGAGTCCCACATTGAGGGTGTGGTGAGAGTGTTGATTTGCAGGGATATTTTAAAGGACATTACATTTACATTTTAAATCCTGGAGGGGAAAGAGAGTCAAAATGTGGCAAATTTAACAACTGACCTGACAGCCCTACCAGCTGATTTTCACTATCTTGAAGATCAATCAGTACGATTTACTAGCTAACCGCTCCCTTGGGCCACTTTAGGACATCTTTCTTCATCAGTAAGCCATCAGCACAACTCATCACAGACATGATGGTATTAAGACCCTACCTGCCAGAGATTCGTACGATTTGGTTGAAACTTGTTCCCCCAGGGATAAACTCTGTCTGTCAAAAAAGAAGAGGTGAGAACAATTATTTTCTTCCTGATGGGACAGGACACCAGTAGATTTACCCTCTCACTGCTGTATAGGGACCAGTGATGTTCAACATATGCATGAATAAACTGGCAAAAGGGATAAACAATGAGATGGTAAAATTTTGCAGACTATACAAAATTGCTCCAGAGATAAACCACTTTGAAAACATCCACTCAATGTACAGCTCCTGTCCAAAATGCTAACAGAATAAGAAGAACCATTGGGAAAGGAATAGATGACAAGACGGGAAATATTATAGCAGCACTATATTGTTGTGTTGTGATATTGTGAAGACCTGGACTTCAACAGGGTTCAAAAAAGAACTAGATAAAATCCATGGAAGTTAGGTCCATTAATACTTATTAGTGAGGATGGGTAGAGATGGTATCCCTGACCTCTGTTTGTCAGGGGCTGGAAATGGATGACAGGAAAGGGATCACTCGATGGTGACCTGTTCTGTCCACTCTCTCTGGGACATCTGGCATTGGCCACTGTCGGCAGAGAGGATATTGGGCTGGATGGACCTTTGGTCTGTCAGTATGGCTGTTCTGATGCTCACTACACGCAGTCCCCGGGTTACGTACAAGATAGGGACTGTAGGTTTGTTCTTAAGTTGAATTTGTATGTAAGTCGGAACTGGTACATATTGTAGGGGAAACTCTAGCCAAGCATTTCTCCAGAGCTCAGTTTTATTCTCCCACACCTCACTTCCCTCAGGCCTTTATTCTTAAGCTGAGATGTCTGCTGAGAAAAGCCGCTCCGCGTCTCCCTGGTCTGCGGGGGGGAAGCAGCTAGTGTGGGGTTGCCTCACCCCGTTTGTAAGTAGGGATCCGATGTAAGTCGGATCCATGTAACCCAGGGACTGCCTGTATATAATTTTGGTCACCCCATGTCAAAAAAGATACATTAAGGTTGGAAAAAGTACAGAGAAGGGCAACAGAAATAGTTCGGGGGTAGAACGACTGCCATCTGAGGAGAGATTAAAGAGACTGGGACTATTCAGCTTGGAAAGGAGGACACCAAGGGGGGGGGAAGATAAAAGTCTATAAAATCATCACTGGGGAGGAGAAAGTAAACAAGGAAGCCAAGAAACCTCTGACTGCTAGAAGCTGGGGATGGATTACAAGGGACAGATCTCTTGATAAATTCCCCTGTTCTGTGCATTCCTCTGAAGCATCTGGCAACAGCCACTGTGGGAAGACCGGACACTGGGCTACATGGACCATTCATCTGACCCTGTCTGGACACTGTTATGCTTAGAAGGAAGCCATGTGTTGATTTTCAAAAACAACATTTTAATTCTAAAGGACACAGTGCTCAGCCGGGAGGGCAGCCAGTGCCTGGAACTGCCTGTCATCAGCACTTCTGATTACCTCTCCTTTCACCAGTGACTCTGGCAGGGATTTTCAAAGGCGCCTAAGAGACTTAGGCACCCACAGCCTACTAAACCTGAATGGGAGACATGAACATCCGGCTCCCTCAGCCTCCTTTGAAAAAAATCACATAATCCGTAGCCTAGTGATTTCCATACATGGGGGTCAATTCATCCACCACTGACATGCGGCTGCCTCTGGAGTAGAACACTGCTGGCCATCAGCTCCATGGGCTATGGATCGCCATTCTCGGCCAATGGGAGCAGCAGGAAGCAACGTCCCAGTCTGCACTGCTTCCCACGGCGCCCATTGGCCAGGAACGGTAATTGGCCAATGGGAGCTGCAGGAAGCAACGTCCCAGTCTGCACTGCTTCCCATGGCGCCCATTGGCCATTACCACGGGATTACCGTTCCTGGCCAATGGGAGCTGCAAGCAGTTGTAACTGCAGACACGCAGGTAAATAAACTGCTGGTGGTTCGTCAGGGGAGAACCACCTCCAGCTTGCCCACCCCCATCTAGTCTGACTTCCACTGTCTGCAGAGAGCAGTACCCCGAGAGAGGGGAAGGCAGACCTTGAGTCCAGTAGGATTTCATTAGTTAGGAATGCAAGACCTCTCCTGGGTCATCAAGTCCCATCCCCCACCATCACAGGCCATCCCGTCATAGAATCAATTACGATTATTGGATGGATTAGTTTGGTTTCAAAGTGATCAGATCCAAGAGTCTTTCTTACATACTCTCTAGTCCTCCCCTTGCAGCGAATTCCCACTCCTCCTCCGTAGGCAACCTCTTCCCTCTCCACTTGCAGTACGCCTGGGCATCATTCCAGCTCACATGGAGCACAGGGTAGTCCAGCTTGGTTTTTATCCCAGACCCTGGACCTGCTGGCTGAGGAGAATTTCATGTAACAAGTTTTCATTGAGCCATAATAATTTCATGTAAAATAAACCCAACAACAGGGAACAGAGCAGTGACGGGTAACCTAGGCTAGGGAACGGGACACAAGACTGTCATAACCAAGATGGTCTCCTGGGACAGGGTAGTTTCGCTCACTGCGCTTGTGTACCTAGAATTTGCAGGTACACAAGCTGAACTCTAGCAGAGCTTTGGCTGCAGAGGGAGCACACGGCTCTCACAACGCTGTGTGCAATCAGCATGCACCTCACTTCAGGTGCCCTTGCTTTGTGTGTGTGTGTGTGTGTGTGTGTGTGTGTGTGTGTGACTTTAGCAATATCGGTAGAAAAACGATGCAGATGGAAATCAGCGCACTCGGGCAGCCCTGTGCATGGGTAATGGTTAGCAAAGTGTCTTGTGGGCCACACATAGAACCCTGCTAGGCTGCAGGTTGCTCACCACTGGTGTAGGCCTATGATTAGACACTTCATCGCTGTTTGGGCTCCATATGAGCATCCACCCCCTACTTGGCTCTGCCTATCTGTAAGGCACTGAAATATACAAGAATGTACACTTTAGGTGCTTCTACACATGGGATATAGGTATAGATCAATGGCTTGTTAGCTCGGGTGGCAACACCTTTCAAATCTATGCGTGGAAGAAAAATCTGGGGACACAATTTTTAACACCAACAACGTTCTCTAGTCCAAAACAACTTTCTGGATGGAGGGAGGGTACAAATGATAAATATTAAGCTGAGACAGTCTATGGCAGAGCAAGGAATTGACCCCAAGTCTCTCAAGTCCTGGGCTAGTGTCCAAAACACTGGCCCAGCTGCCTCACATGGGGGTATAAGAGATCATACCTTGAACGTTCATATGCTTTCTTACATGGTACAAGGTATACTGCCTTTGAGTCCTTGGTAGAAATCAGTCTAATTAAAGCTGGAGGATCTTAGCTGCCTCAGGTAAGGACAGAACTTCAGAGACTTATCTAACACAGAGACCCCATTTCTATCTATTCTGCCAGGAGGCCTGGCTGATAGTGGAATTTATTCCCGACACTATGATCTCAAACGGGTCTGCAGATCACTTGTAGCCCCTGGCAGAGCTGCTCCACTCATAGTGCTCCCTAAATACCTCAACAGAGAAGCAGAATGGATGAGAGTAGTGATTAGTCAGGAGGGCAGCCAGTGCCCCAAATTGCATCTAATTACTAGTCCTTTTTGCCAGTTACTCTCGTAGAGATTTTCAACAGACTATGGGAATTAGGCACCCGTAGCTTATTAATGGGAGATATGAACATCTAGTTCCCGTAGACTCCTTTGAAAATCACAGCCTCTGCACTTAGCCCTCAGTTTCCTCCTCCTGTGCAAGAGGAATTGCTTACAGTGTAATCAAAGCCATGTCTTCTCCCCACCCTAAGCAGACCATCTCTGAAGCTATATCAGATGGGAGTTTCGCCCCTTCGAAGAACTGCTCACCTGTCGCCAAAATGCCTTGTCAATTGGCAACCACCAAGGGGCAGACTGGGAAAAAGAAGAGAGACAAGATTAAAACACAGTTCTGTCGTCTAACTGGCCCCAAGCCTGACTCTTGGCGCTTCGCCCATTTTGCAGCATGGTTTTGAGTTTGGATAGTTAGACTCCTGGAAGGGGCGGGGCCTCAGGTGCCAGGGGCAGGGCTGGGAACAGACAGCTGTCAGAAGCACACAGCGCCCCGCCTCCCCCCGCCCTTAGAGCTGCCTAAAGTGTGCCAAAGCTCTGGGCCTTTTGAATTGCAGGGCCCCTTTGCCAGGCCTGTCCCTGAGAGGTGGCGCATGAGCTTTCTAAAGGCTTGCATCCCTTCTTCTGGGTTAGCACCTGCTTTCTTCACAAGGACACAAGTAACGGCAAACATTTCAGGGAAGCTACAGAACTGAATTTCAATGGACAAGTTGGACTCCTATGACAGAAATCTAAACGAGGACATTGGAAGGATGGCCTGCTACTGTCCACATCCTAATGACATAAAAAACCAAACAAAGGGCACCTAGAGGGGGTGCTAAGTATTCTTATCAGCTTCATTTATAGCATGGACTCACATCGACAATCTTTCCCCTTTTGTTCTTTTTCCTCCTCTTCCCTCCCCCATCTCCTCTCTGTGCTATTTACTTGAAAACTGGACCACTTAAACACCAGTCATCAGAAGAAGCGGGTTCTGCCCACGAAAGCTCATGATACCATCAACATGTTTTGTTAGTCTCTAAGGTGCTGCTAGACTACTAGTTGTTAAAGTTATTTCAGGAATGGGTCTGCTTGTATTTAGTCCACCATCCTGACATCCCTGAGATCTGAGGACAAACACCGTGGATATTTTTTCACCATCATGAATCTACCCCATAACATGTGGGTCATGTCACTTTCCACACTCCAAAAAGACTTCACCTCCAGTTTTTGGGTCACTTTTTTTTTCAGCTCTTCGGATACAAAATCTTCAAAGACAAAGCTCCAGCCGAAGGCTTCTGCTTCCGTTTTGTATTTCTTTTCTCGAACAAACTCCCTGGTGAAAACAAGTCGGAAATAGGTGTGTGGGTACCAATTCCACAAAGGGAACATCTGTAAAATTTCATGATCCCAATGCACTATAAGTTGATAAAAGTAAAGGTAATTTATAAGAGCTACTCACACCATTTATAATCTATTGAACCCCTCTACAGACAGCCAAATTCATCCCTGGTGTAAATCCAATCAGCTCAGTGGAATTAGGTTTAGAGATGAAACTGGCCCAGTTTGTATCACTTGCATGAAATGGCTATACCGATGTGAATTTTTTTTATGAGTTTCTTTAGATTTAGTAAAAACTAAAACAACCCAAAAAGCAAACCAAGCCAGCAGTTACTAGACGTGCCCATTGGAAGCTTGGGAGCACTTTGCAAAAATTCACATTGAGCAACAAACAAAAACAAAAAATCACATGGACGCACTTAATTCGACTGCTGTTACAATCCAGTCTGTCCCCAAAATTTATCCAGTGCACCAAATAACCCTCCTCCCAACATAGCTGAGAATCAAGATGAGCATCAGGATATCGGAGTCATCTCCACGGCAAGATAGGACAGTCCCTCCAATGCATTTTTAGTGCTTTGTACAATCCTCAAAATGTCACAGGGAGCAACTGAGTATTAACAGAGAGGCATCTAGAGTCTGTTTTAGAGATGGCCCAATTTCTAGGATTGTGCATTCTGAAGAGTAACATATATCAATGGGAAAATTGAATATTTATCCTCTAATTGCAATCTACTGCAGTTTCATAACAGAGCAACAAAGCAAAGTATTTACAAATTAAGTACAAAATAGAATATGATGCTTTGGTGTGAACAGCTTAGAAAGGACCTGTCTGCTACCTAACATAGCCCCAAGTGGGTTTTCTGTTTATCATTTCATATCAAAAGAAACACGACTGGTCTTCCAGAGTGTTTGAAAAGAGTTTGTAATGCAAACTGCTGGAGTAAAATGTTAACATCCTTCGGCAGTGATCCCCGGATTGAGAGCAGGACTTTGAAATATTCCAGACATTTTGAGTGATCCTGAATAGGGTGAGATTTTCAACCTGAAAAATTCAATTGTTTTCTTTACCCCACAGAACAAGTGCAGCACTGGCCAATGTACCTTCTCTCCAACCTGATGGCATCACCTCTAGGCTCTATAGATTAGTTTTGTTTCTATGATCAGTCATTGGCCTCTCTGCTCAGGCTGCCAACAAAGGTAAACCCAGCAAAGATTGTTTCAGTCACTACCCTGACCAATAATACACCGGTGAAAGTCTCCATTTCCCTGTACTATCTACCCCCTGCAAACTAAGCAAATGCTGAGTAGGGGCCTTACCTGAAATCCCTGTTGGTAACAGGATATTTGTCGATAGAAAATGACTTCACTGTCATGTCCTGGTGAGACCCTTCATTTTTACCATCAGATGAATCCGTTCCCATTGGGAAATGCCCCAAAGGCAGTTGTACCATGTGTCCAGCATCTTCAAAAGCTATGAAAGATGTTATGATCTACTATAACGTGAATGAGTAACAATGAAACCTTGGAGCATGGACATTCTTTGCTAGAGATATGTCCGCATGCAGTGGAAGGGGGAAAGAGAGGGTTAATAATACCACCTAGCACCTAGACTGCACTTTATATCTTGCAGAGTATACACTAAGTTTTTTTCTGGTATAAAGCCATTGAAATCAGTGAAATTATCCCTGAGGAAAATTTAGCTCATTCACTAATTCTCTCTACTCTCATAGGAAGAAAATAAACATGCATTTTTATCCCCATTTTACAGGTGTGGTAAGTGAGGCAGAAATGCTGAATAACGTAAGTCACAGGGGATAAAAGATTCTTAACTCTACTGCTTTTTAATATGCTACAAAACCACTATTGCTAAAAACACTGATATTTGAAAGACAGTCTCTCTAACGAGGGACTGATTAAACACAAAGGAATTGGATAACAGCACCCCCTCGGCCCATACAGCCTGAATCTCCCCCTATCTATGCTGGGAAGGGGTCACTGAGGACAACAGCAACTCAGTCTGTTGCTTTAGATCAGATTCTATGTTGTTCAATGGCAATTTATACACAGTGAGGCATTCCTAGGTATCAGTGAGTTGCGAGATTTAGGTATTCATCGAGTCTCGCTCATCAATTTTTACATAAAGGAATTCAGCACACTAGGGGACTCCTTTGAAAGTATTAAGATCAGTCACTTTTCAGTTGCATCGAATGACCCAGGACTCACTAGTGAAACTTCTGAAAGGAGTAGCTCCAGCCCCAAGATAAATACGGTGTTAACATATTTAGAAATGACCTAAGAAGTCTTTGGAGAAGAGAAAAATACTCAGGGTGGGGAAGTTACCAGCCATTTAGAGCTAGGAAATATGGGGAGGAAGGGATGAGTAGAAAGGGAATGCCCCTAGCTTCCCACTGGGCCATGCCATAGATATGATGGTTCTGCCTTCTGCTTACATTTTACCAGTGAAGGCATGGAGCACTCATTTGACTTTCCAAAAGTTGGAGCAGGGGGGAGGGAAGAGAGGCACTGTTATCTTTTTATATGTTGAAAAGAGTTTAAGAGTTTGATGCTTATTCCTTCAAACATATCTATAGGGAGCAGACAGGCCCTTCCTCCCTTATATTCAGGCACTTGAGGATTTATTTTAGGACAAAATGCAGGACTATGTAGCACTTTAAAGACTGGCAAGATGGTTTATTTGTTAGTCTTTAGAGTGCTACATAGTCCTGTATTTTGCTTCAGCTACACCAGACTAACACGGTTACATTTCTATCACTATTTTAGGGCAGTATTTCAAGTCTCTCTTTTTGGGAGAGGAAGGATTTCAGGGACTATGCTTCTTTGAAATGAGTTCTGGTTAATGCAGCCCCTGAAGGAAAAGAAAAGAGTCACTGGGGGGGGGGGGGGGGGAAGAAGAGTGGGACAGGCAGCACTTCTTTTAAAGTTCTGCTGCACTGAAAGTGTAAAGGGCACAGGAGATGGAAAGGAAAGGTGGAGCAAGACATGCTTGAACTCACCTTGAGAACTGTAGCTGCTCCCTACCACACAGACGCCTAACAGGAGAGCCAGCCACACTCTCCCAGCAGAGGTGTACAGTTGCATTGGGGACAGGACTAGATTAACTGAAGGAGGTGGAAAGCCCGTGACCCAGAAGAGCTGGGTACTTGGCTGAAATGCTTCCGGGAACCCCAGCATGAGTCTCCACCCCCCTGCAGGGAACCGAAAGCAAGGAAGTGATGAAAGGGGAGGAGTATAACAGTGCACAAACAGCAGGACAGAAGCTGAGGCCTGGATGCAATGTACAGATGGGGTCTTCAGTCGTATTTGAGCCATAAGCAAATGCTGGGAAAATGCTTCAGATGCTGAATTTTTTCCTTTTAACATTGTTACACAACTCTTAAGACCCCTTTTGTTGAGGTAAAATGTCTCCCCTTCTCCTGCCTCCCAACCCCCACCAGAAAGCCAAAACCTCAAAGCTTATTTTAGACACTTACCAACCCTTCATACGACCAAGTTCGTGGTTTCTTTTATAGAGATACCATTTTCCTGCTTTTGCAGGGGTTTTCATTAGTGACCAAACAATTTTAAAAAAAGGGCAGGGGCTGCAACTGTAGGTCAGCAGAGTCATATGGATGGGTAGATTTCCTCTCGCCTATTTCCTTTTAAATGGGGAAAGGGATTGTGACCACACATGCCCAAGTCAAGAGCAGGTGACATTTCAAGCTGAAGATATGTAGGAGTCTCCCTGGAGGAATATCTTGAACCTACAAGACCTCAGGTAGTCATGTGGCTGTAACATCACTAGATATTGTTTCAGAATTTTGTTTTTACTCAGTAGGCCTTGTACTGTATTCCTGTTTGCCCACATGCAATTTGGGAGTCTGGGAGACTGGGCAAAGGAGGGAGTTGTCACCTGGGGCAGAAGGATATGGGTGTGGAGGATTCTGATCTGAAAGAGGGATGGTATTAGGAAGGGGCTTAGGAGCTTGGATTGTGACCTAGGGACAGTGAGGAGAAGGGATTGGATGCCAGAAGCAGACTCTAGCCAGGAAACTTACCTAGATGGCTCCTGGGCAGCAGCTCAATGGGACCCTCAGACAAGCTCCCTTGCCTTTTACATCCCGGCATGCTGCTCAAAGTGTCCAGCTGCAGGGGGTCATGTGTTCTCTACACTACAGACCTCAGGGGTGGAGGTTTACTTGTGCACTGCCTGCACAAGCCCAGCCCAAGCAGCTCCTGTTGTCTGATTTCTAGTCAATGGGAGCTGTGAAATTGTATTGGGGCAGAGGTAGAATGCAAGACCCCCCCCAGAGGCTCATAGCATGCAGAGAGCACATGACCCCCACAGCTTGCTGTTTTGAGCAGTCTATGTGGGGGGACACAGAAGGCAGGGAACCTGCCTAAGGCTCCTGCTGGGCTGTGGGATAGTGGCAGGCTGCATCTGGCCTACAGGCTCGGTTTCCCCCACCCCTCTGAGGAATTCACAAGTTGTTCTAGCAATGATACCTGAGTTATCAGACTGCCAATAAAGAACATAAGAACAGCCATACTGGGTCAGACCAAAGGTCCATCTAGCCCAGTATCCTGTCTGCCCACAGTGGCCAGCACCGGGTGACCCAGAGAGGGTGGACCGAAGACAATGATCAAGTGATTTGTCTCCTGCCATCTCTCTCCAGCCTCTGACAAACAGAGGCCAAGGACACCATTTTATCCCCTTTTATGGACCTAATCTCCATGAGATTATCTAGCTTCTCTTTAAACTCTATTATAGTCCTAGCCTTCACAGCCTCATCTGGCAAGGAGTTACAGGTTGACTACATACTATGTGAGCAACTTTCTTTTATTAGTTTTAAACTTGCTACCCATTAATTTCATTTGGTGTCCTCTAGTAGTTCTATTTAGGGAACTAATAAATAACTTTTCTTTATCGGCCCTTTCCACACCACTCATGATTTTATAGACCTCTATCATATCCCCCCCGTCTCTTTTCTAAACTGAAAAGTCCCAGTTGCTTTAACCTCTCCTCATATGGGACCCGTTCCAAACCCCTCATCATTTTCATTGCCCCTTTCTGAACCATTTCCAAGGCCAAAATATCTTTTTTTGAGGTGAGGAGACCACATCTGCAAACAGTATTCAAGATGTGGGCGTACCATAGTTTTATACAGGGGCAGTAAGATATTCTGGGTCTTATTTTCTATCCCTTTCCTAACAATTCCTAGCATCCTATTTGCCTTTGACTGCCACTGCACACTGTGTGGAAGTTTTCAGAGAACTGTCCACGATAACTCCAAGATCTTTCCTGATTTGTCGTAGCCAAATTAGCCCCCATCATACTGTACCTATAGTTGGGGTTATTTTTTCTGATGTGCATTACTTTACACTTATCCACATTAAATTTCATTTGCCATTTTGTTGCCCAATCACTCAATTTGGTGAGATCTTCTTGGAGTCCCTCAGTCTGCTTCTGTCTTGACTATCCTAAACAGTTTTGTATCATCTGCAAACTTTACCACCTCACTGCTTACCCCTTTCTCCAGATCATTTATGAATAAATTGAAAAAGGACTGACCCTTGGGGGACACCACTAGTTACCCCTCTCCATTCTGAAAATTTACCATTTATTCCTACCCTTTGTTTCCTGTCTTTTAACCAGTTCTCAATCCATGAAAGGACCTTCCCTCTTATCCCATGGCCATGTAATTTACACAAGAGCCTTCAGAAAACCTTGTCAAAGACTTGAAAATCCAAGTATACTGTATCTACTGGATCCCCCTTATCCACATGTTTGTTAACCCCTTCAAAGAACTCTAATAGATTAGTAAAACAGGATTTCCCTTTACAGAAACCATGTTGACTTTTGTCCAACAAATTATGTTCTTCTACATGCTCCAAACGATACTCTATAAACTGTCTAGTAAGTTAGTAGATGACAAAAAGTCATCCAGGCCCGGTAGTATTTAGCAATATCCAGAAAGGTGCTGCACAAATGAGTGAATTCTGAGAAAAAGTACCATCTCCTTTCAGTTGACAATTACATAACTATGTTTTAATTGCCCAACATTAGCCCGCACAATCAAATGATTAAGTAACTGATACCACTACAAGATAAGCACAGAGCAGAATTGTTTATTGGGTAAAAAGACTGTAGGTTGTACATTTCAGTGCAATTAAGAAAAAAATAAATAACTGATTTTAGAACCTAATATTTGAATAAATGCTAATGTTTGAGAGTGGCCACGTTTACTCCGAAGACAGATACTTTTGTCACTGTGAAAATCCACTGGAGACTGGAGATAATGCCTTGAGGTGAATTTTTTTGGACATTGACCCTATGAAGTAATCTCCCTCCTCAAGACAACCATCATAGCAGAGGGCAGATTCAATTCAACCTTTGAGAGATGACATTCCAGCTCGCATAATTTCATCAACCAAGAGAATGTTGCTGGCAATCACAGTGCTAGAAAGATCAAAACATTAATGGTCAAAACATCTGAATTATGTTACAGTTCATCCAACTGCATGCATACATCCCCCCCGCGCGCTCATACACCCACTCTGTATATTACAGTTCTATATTTACTAACTTGTTTAAAAACCTCATACCAGCTGAAGTATACTCTAAGTTCTTTTAAATCAATATGGAGCTTATTGAAGAAGTTTGATTTCTCTACGGAAGACAGAGCTAAACAGATATCAAGTCTTTTTAATATAAAATTGTATTCCTGTGCTTTTATTTCTATACTGTAAATTTAGATAAGATATGGGCTGGGTTAACCCATATCAGTCAAATGTGATCAATAGCAATGGAATCCCATTTTAGTTTTAAAAAGCCTCACAAAAAACTTACCATGAATGTAGTAGTTGTTTTTTGACATTATAATTATCCCAAACTCCAGCTGCTGCCGCCATCATTGGTTCACCTGGGAATGCAAAATAAAACCCCTCGTAATCTGATACATTTTAGCAATTTATTCATGTAGCTCAAAGTCTTGTTATAGACAGTGGGAAATCACAGAACACTAAAATGTTGTTTGACTGCCACCAAGAGGCAAACCATAGAATTTCCCACTTCATACTAAACACTGGCCTTAATCTTTGTGTGCTCATGTGTTACTCCCTCATCCCCCCTCTGTTCTGAAATCTGTCAACTTTATGTGTGTTCACTTTTTTTGATTGGTATGTATGGTTGTGCCAATTTTCTTCCATAATTTGATCTGAGAAAGTGGGTCCAGCCCACGAAAGCTCATCTCCTAATAAACCATCCTGTTAGTCTTTAAAGTGCTGCATAGTCCTGTCTTTTGTTTCAGCAAGTCCAGACTAACACGGCTACATCTCTATTACTATTCAAAATGGGAACAGTTACTCACCAAATTAGTTAATTCTCTTGCAAAAAGCTATACTGAAGTTCAATACATCATGAGTTAAGTATTATTCTAGTAATCTTACCAATCAAACCACAGCTGCTGCGGATGGAAAACCAAACATTTTTTTTTTTTTTAAGTGAGGAACACGAAGCGCTTTTGGTTGAGAAAAAGAACCCCACTACACCTTGCCCCTTGACCAGATGACACTTATTGACAACAATATTTGCTCACTGCCCAATGATAATTTAAGTATCTTTTTAATTATCTTTTCAAAAGTGGAACATTTTTTAATCTAAGTATCCCAGACATAACCCATCAATCGTTATCCATTAAATAATAATAAAACAAGTTGTCAAATGAAGAAGGAACATTGTATCTGACCCCCCTCAGCTGTCCAGGGTAACAAGTGAGGGCTAAAGGCAGCAGACCAAAGACCCGGCTGGGGTGGTGGCTGTAGGGCAGTTCTCTCCCCTGGCAGGTAGGATCCCCAGACCAGCAGTAGAGACAGCTCATCAGAACCGGCCCTGCTGATGGCCCCCTCTGGCAAGAGGCCCAACTGAGGGTACGTCTAGACTACATGCCGCTGTCGCCAGAGGCATGTAGATTAGGCGACCAGGCATAGGAAAATGAAGCGGCGATTTAAATAATTGCCACTTCATTTAAATTTACATGGCTGCCGTGCTGAGCCGACAAACAGCTGTTCAGCTGATCAACTGTTTGTCGGCTCAGCACGGCAGCCATGTAAATTTAAATGAAGTGGCAATTATTTAAATCGCCGCTTCATTTTCCTATGCCTGGTCGCCTAATCTACATGCCTCTGGCGACAGAGGCATGTAGTCTAGACTTACCCTGAGACACAGCTTTCCCAGGCAATTGCAAGCCGGGCACAGTAGCATGTGAGTAGCCCGGCCTCATTTCCTGCTGCACCACCACTCAACTCTTCCACTCTTCGCACCACCCACTGCATCTCAGCAGCTCTAGCAGCTGTTATTTTTCCCCTCAAACGATCGTGGCACCCTGTGAGTTCTCCGTGGAACACCAGTGTTCCGTGGAACACAGTTTAAGATACAAGGTTTTAAACAATTCTGCCAGTCCTGAAAACATCTTTGGAAGCTAAAGCATGAAAGACTTCTGTATATATAAACAAGTTCTTCATTTCCCTCAACAGAAACAGCACCACTTTGCTGGCTCAAAGTAAAAGTTATTTAACCCAATTGTCTGAACATTATATCTTAGTGTTTCTTACCAGTGTTCAGATCAACTCCAATAAGTTGTCCTGATTCTGAATATTCAGTCTGAATTTTCACTAGTGTTTCCTGGGGGTCATAACCAGAGTTCTGAGCAAGAACCTTAGAGGGGAAAAATGGTGCATGTTTTGTGTATTATTTAAAAGCCATGAAAAACTACAGACAGGGAATCATTAACTGTTAGTACACACTATAACAAGTTCTGAAATGATTACTTTAAAACCAGGAGTACCTTAGGAATGATGAGCAGAGCATCAGCAAAGGCTTGAACTCCAAACTGGGCTCTTCCTTTTACATTGGGCTTATGTTTCACAAGAGCATCAGCTATTGCCACTTCTAACGCTCCAGCTCCTGCAACCACACATCCTGTAAGAGATAGACATACGAGTAGTGAATGGCCATCACAAACAAACTACATGGCAAAGGGGTCAGTTAAGATTTTAATCTCATCATTGTGAATGCTGACTATCTGAAAAAGCCACCTTATTGTTTTTTCCCTTGCCTTTGGAATGGAGATTGAAATAGAAAAGGAGCAGCAGTTCTGCAGATTTCTTGGAATAAAACAAGTTTTGAACACCATTTTAGAGTCTGTGAAATTCAAGGTATTTTAAAAACATTGTTGGTTCATTATTTCCATGGATAAGAAATGCTATTCTAATGATGCTTCCTAGCAGGAAGTCCAGCCTACTTCCATCCAATGCAGAGTAGTAACATTTAGAGGGACGGATAGCAAGCCCTTTCTAGCCTTCTACATTTGCAGTGGCATGTAACACACAGCAGTGAAAAATAGGCTGGTGGCCACACCGCACTATGTAGCAACACATGGCAGTCAAAAAGGCAGGGGGACTAGCAACTGCCAGAGCCTCTTTGCAGGAGGAAAAGCCTGCCAAGAGCATTTCCCCACTGTTTAAGCCTTTCACTGTTGCAGAGAAATAGTGGGACATTACCCAGCTAAAAATAGTGCAGACATGGGAGGCACTGCTTAGAAGAGTTGAGACCCAAGCCCTGGGGATGTGGTTTGTTGTGCCTCACTATCTATACAGGCAGTCCCCGGGTTACATACAAGATAGGGACTGTAGGTTTGTTCTTAAGTTGAATTTGTATGTAAGTCGGAACTGGTACATATTGTAGGGGAAACTCTAGCCAAACATTTTTTTTAGTTTTGGATAGCATAGGGAAAGGTTAACTCCCCTCTAATGTTTGTTTTGCTGTCTGTTCCCCTGTTCAGAAGATTTCACATCTATTTCTGTCCCTGTGACAAACTCAGGACTAAAGGAGTAACTCATCAAATACCAAACAGCTCTGCACCATGCTTTGAGCTAATAGCTTTATTTCCACACACCACCCAGGGTTCTAGGAGGAGGGTCTACTTGAAATACGTGTGTGTGTGTGTGTGTGTGTGTGCGCGCACACGCAGCAGCTGTACTCTGCATACAGCCACAAATGTAGACATACACCTTACAACTATGACTATTTATTTATTCTCCCCACTTCCAAAATCATTGACTTTTGACTTGAGCTAAAATTTTAATAAATGGTCTCTGTGCTAATGAAGTTTTTCCAGCAAGTTTAACTGAAGCACTTAACTTATGGTTAGTATTTAATAATACTTATTGCCTTTCTCCAAGAAAGGCAACACAGGCAATTTTGTCACCTAACTCGTAACTGAAGTTACAATAATTGACTAAAATGTGCGTCCCCATCTTTTTTAAACAGCAAAGCACTGGGAACACATCAAATTGAAGTGTGCTTTAGTAGTTTATTCAGACACCATGCTAACAATTTATCTATCCGCTCGATAAAAAAAAGTACACAAATAGATATGCATGGCAGATATGTTTTGCACACTTCAAGATGCAACTCATAAGACATTGTTAAATGTAATAAAGGCACAAGGAAACTTACCATCCTCAATGGCGTTTTTGACAGCACGTAGCCCATCTCTTACTGCATCCTTTATTTGTGTGAGCGTATGTTTATTTGGCCCCCTGATCAACAGGGTAACAGAGCGAGGGTTGTCACACTTCTCAACGAAGGTAAACTTCTCTTCACCCTACATGTCAATAGCAGCAAATCTCTAACACCATATTTCTGCTGAACAAAAACCCTATACCATAGCCACAAATCACTAGATATAAATATTAAAATATTCAGATGCACCATTTTTAAAGACCCTCAGATTATTCATTCTGTACTGGACCTTTCAAGCAGCCAGGAGAGACAAAAAGGGAAACATTTGTCATCTCATCCTCAAAAGCTGTTCACATTCCTTCTCAATTAATTACCTTTTGCCTTAAATAGAGTACAAGTTCCTGTGTTTCTCTTTGGCTTCTATTTTATTCTTTATCCCCCAACGTGATCTAATTGCAGTGCAAACATCTAGGTAAAACATTTACACGAGGCCCTGGAGGTCTTTTGCCTTCCTCTGTAGCATGGGGCACGGATCACTTGCTGGAGGATTCTCTACATCTTGGGCTCCTTAAACCATTTGAGGACTTCAATATCTGAGATATAGGTGAGAGGATTATTCTAGGAGAGGCTGGGTGAGATTCTGTGGCCTGCATTGTGCAGGATGATTATAATGGTCCCTTCTGACCCTAAAGTCTATGAGTCTATGACAGAGAGCATCAAGGACAAGAAATGCCAGTGGTTTTCAATGAGACTTCCATTACTGCTCTCAAACTACCAAATGAATTATCATGGGCATATAAATCCAAAGTCTTCTATACTGTGTAGAAGCAGTAGAAACCACAATGAAGCCTGAACTGAAAATACTGCTGCAGACACGAGAATATTCTTTTGGCTTCTATCTAGTTTAGCTGTAGTTACACATTCAAAGTCTTACGCACCAGTACATACTCGTAGACAAGACCAGCATGTCCCAAACAGTCAGGAGTCAGGTCATCCACAGAATTCATAGCTATACCACCACATGCAAGGGTCAATCTGAAAAAGGATGTTTATAAAACATTTGAAGCATGTTAGATTTATTAAAAATAAACAAGTGAAAATAAACTTGAAAAAATAATCCTAGCTGCCCAATGAGTCCTGAGTGAAGATGCTTTTCACGCCATGTCAAATTGTCATCATAAACAGGCTGGTCTCATTTGTGATTGTTTCACTATGCTGTTTATTCAGATGATTTATTTCCAGAGTGTTCAAGTTTCACACACTTCAAGCCTCTTCTACACTGTTCACTTGAAAGTTTACTTCTAAATACATCATGTAAACAAACATCAACATGGCTATCCCTCTAATGCTTCATCTGCAAAAGCAAGGAGTCCAGTGGCACCTTAAAGGCCAACAGATTTGGCCATGAACTGTGTGACAGTTTCCCCATGCTTTATTAAGTTATGCATTTTTAGATCCATAAGCTAACTCAAAGATGCTTTGAACAAAATACCTCATGTAACCTATTAATTTTAATATCATGCACTTTCAGATGAAATGATTGAATCATCTCATCTGAAGTGGGTTTTGCCCACAAAAGCTCATACTATACATATATTTTTATTAGTCTCCATGGGTGCATCTACACTGCACCATAACGCGAAATAAGATATGCAATTTAACTATGCAAATTGCGTATCTTATTTCAATGCTATTTCAAAATAGCTTATTTCATCATTTAACTTCAAAATAAAGTACTATCCCGAAATGTCCCTTACTCCTCATAGAATGAGGTTTTCAGGGATGTCGAAAAAGTGAGCCTGAAATAACGGGCTTGCTGTGAAGATACAGATAGCTATTTCAGGATCTCTCTGGTATCCTGAAATAGTGCTGCAGTGTAGACATACGCTAAGGTACCACAGGACTATTTTTTTTTAAATAGTTGTTTTTAAAGGTTACAGATTAGAGGTACCACAGGACTATTTTTTTTTTAAATAGTTGTTTTTAAAGTTACAGATTAACACAACTACCCCCTCAGACTTTACCGACGTTCTCGTTCTGCGGATGTGCATCCTAGTTTGGCACAGTCTTGTATGTAATGTTAGAAATATGAAGTATGAGACCACTTAAATATGTTAATGAAAGCCATCAGTGGTGCTCCAGAAGTCTTAATGATTGAGTGATCAACTTAACCACTTGTGAACAGGCTTGTTTGTCCTGCAAATTCAGAAGTAGTTGGACTAGGTAGGAAGATGTGACCCTACCACCTGGAACAGGCATTCCCTTTTGACCAGGTGAAAGGGGGAAATGGAGAATAAACGATTCCCGCCTATAAGGGAAGATTATTAAGCCAGGAGAAGTTATCAGATCTTTGTCTTCAGCTGGAGATTCAAGCCAGAACTGGAGAATCAAGTCAGACTCAAAGATCACTTTTGACTTCGAGACCCGCCTGAAATAAGAACAACTCTTTAGGGTATGACTCTGCTTGCAGTAAGTTTAACGAATTAGAACTAGCTATGCATGGTTTTTTGTTTGTTTTAGAGTAACTTACTGTGATCTACCTGTTTTTATTTGCAACCACTTAAATCCTACAGTTTGTACTTAATGTTTGCATTGCTCTTTGGAGTGGGGATCTTAACTCCAATCTGTGCTTTGTCTGGGATAGACCAGAAGATCTGGCTCAGCAGGACAGAGTGGTGGGTGTCAGTGGTATAATCAGCATGTTGGGCAACAACCCCAAAAACGTCTTCTCTGACCTCACCATGTCACATTTTCGTGATCAAAACCCCACTTGGTCAGATGCATCCACAACAGATGTCAAGGACTCCCCTCCTCCACCCTCCCAAACTAGAAGTTTCCATTTCAATGTCAGGAGTTTCCATGGTTTACATTGACCTGATAGCTCAAAACTCATG